TGCTATAAATACTATAAATCTAGGCTTTTCTAGCTACTAAAATAACTAGATTTAAGATAAGGCTTAACTAAATAAGCCTAATTAGAAAGATAAAATACTTAATAGCTATAAAATATTAGATTTATTTAAATAAAATTAACAAAATTAACAGCATTCTAATATAAAGAGCAGTTTTGCAAGCTTTTAAGAGAATTCTAAAGAATCTATTAAAAATAGCTTTAATAATAGCTCTAATAATTAATATAATTAACCTAATCAGCATAATTAACTTAATAATATAAATAATACAAATAATAATTTAAATAATACAATAAATAATAGAAAACCTACACCTAAATGCGTCTGTAGTTAATATTACTATTATAATTAGTGTTATTACTTTAATACTAATATTAGGCCCTCTTATTAAAAGCCTAAGGAAGCTATTAGTACTAAAATTGCTAATAAGCTAAAAGAAGACTCTATTTTATAAGGGAAAATTAACTAATCTATTAAATATTATAAGAAAAGAGCACAAAATGCACCTAAAAACACTACTAATAACAAAAAGGATAATTCTATAGGGGTAGCTTTTGCTGCTAATAATAGTACAGAAGCTATTACTAAGTAAATACCTATATCTATAACTATATCTACGAATTATATTGAAAATAATGCTATTTATCTACTAAAGGACTCTTTTATTCTTAATAGTAGATTTACTATATATATATATAATAATAAGGCTTGATTTATTAAATATAAGCCTTCTATTTAACAAGATACTGCCTTTTTAGGCACTAGCTATTTAAAAATTAAAGGTTACAGCAAAATTCAGCTAAAAACCTTAGATAGGCTATTTATATTGCAAAATACAGCCTATATACTAAATTTTTACATAAATATAACAAGCCTAGACCTTCTATTAGAGGCAGGCTATAATTAGGACCTAGCTACTAGAAAAGTTACTAAAAATAAAGCCTTTATTTTTACTACAAGCTAGATATATTATTAGTTAGTTATTAAATATAATAAACCTTCTAAAAATACTATTACAGCTAGCTTTTATAACTTAAAAACACTTATAACTTTAATAACTGCCTCTGCTAAACGCTAGCACTAACGCCTAAGTTATCTAGATAAAGATGCCTTAGAACACCTTATAGAGGCTACTATAGAGACTAAAATTACAGGCTCTTCTACTATTAAAT